ATTCGCAATAACGCTATGCACTTGGCAGGAAAATCAGTCCCGCAAGTAGTAATCAACGATATCGTAGCACAATTGAGGCACGACAACATTATTAAGTTAGTTTTTCAACCATTTTCCAAGTTAATGAGTTGGAAATCATCGCGCAAAATTATCACTTTTTTCGAGTTCTATTGTAGTGGTTACCAGAGCGGAGCTCAAAAAAGAATGGATGGGACTTTATCCGTTTTGATTCCAAATCAGAACAAGCAGATTCTAGAACCCGTTTGATTATTCATGGGTGTTTAAAGGCTTAGTAATAGTTTTAACCACTTACTTCCTCTTCTAATTTTTTTCTGTTTCCTAATTCTTATCCTAAATTGTTTGCTGTTTTTTTTTATTTGATTTGAAAAAATATATCATATTCGATTAGTGTAGGTCAGTACATGATGTGAAAGCGGTTCGACATGGAGTTGAGCAAGTTCGATTTAAAGCAGAAGTAGAGTATGATGGACGAGCAATCACCAATTTGTATCTNATTTGATTTGAAAAATATATCATATTCGATTAGTGTAGGTCAGTACATGATGTGAAAGCGGTTCGACATGGAGTTGAGCAAGTTCGATTTAAAGCAGAAGTAGAGTATGATGGACGAGCAATCACCAATTTGTATCTTTCGGAGTCATGTCACATCCCTTCTGTCATTGAGGTCAGCCAATTTCAAGAAACTTAAATTTTTTGAGAGACGCCATATCTCATATTTATGAATTGAGAAATTTTTCGTTTTTTATGAGACAATCGTCTATTTATGGCCCTTCAGAAAGCTTATTGATTCTTTCCGACACTTACTGCAAATATTATCTAATTTTAGTCTTGTGTATAGAGGAAGTTATTTTTTGTTTTTTTTCTTTATTTTTTAGCAGGAAAGTTTACATGAAGCTGCCAAAAAATATTTAGAATTTCTGTTTGTCTTCTGCTGCTCTTATATTACTAAAAGCTTTTTAATCAACCGAGAGACACAAGAATTCAGAGAAAATCCTGAAAAAAATCGTAAATTAAAAGATTTTTAAATATTCTTCAAAGTAAAATATTTTCAAGTGGTTTTTTGCTTTCCTCTTTGTATCCATATATGAATTTT